TTTTAAAAATGATGTTCTCGGATCTTGGAATTTTCTTCACTTGATCCACATTCTGATAAGCTATTTGTGCTAGGAGAAAAGAGAATTGCGCACTGCCAGTTTTGTCTGATGCTCGTCTGTAATGACTTTAAATTTCATTATTTATCTTTTTCCCACTGCAACAATTTTTGCATTCTTTATGAATATGCATATTTTATCATCGGAGTAGTGTTGAAATCCCTTGTCAAGAGCTGTACCCGCCAAAAAAAGATTGAAACTCAGTTCTGGTACATGAAAAATATTACTGAAATACTTTCGCACCCACTCTTTTCCATTGAAAGAAAGAATGTCAATATCTCCTGACTCAATTGCTTAAATATATTTTCCATCGCCTATCTTAATATTCTCTACTGTGTCAAATTTTTTATATGACCATTCGCGATGATTTGATATGTGCTCAGTCGCACCCGAATCCATGTGCCATGCATCACTGGATGCTAAATTATATTTTGCAGACATAGCTCTAATGAGTGCCTCTCCTTTCCTTCCTGTGTATTTTTCGTTTGATGTTGTAGCTTTTCGGTTTCTGCATTCCTTGATTCAATGTTTGTGGCAATAATGGCACACACTTGATTTAATGTTGCCTTTTTTGAAATTTTTCTTACATTGATGCTTATTGGCAATAAAAGCAATATTCTCTACCCTTTCTTCGGTTCCTGTCCTTGTTTCCTCAACGAGCTTTGTTTCTTTGCTTCCTGGCGAGCCTTGAAATAAGATTTGTGAGAGTTCTTTCGTTAGGTTGAGTTGATTCCCATACACTAATAAAGTATTTGAATGACAGAGGTAATATCATGAGTATTATTTAGTAATAATTATTTCATTTGGAATTTTCTCACCCAAAGTTTGCAAAATTCTCGAGTTACGATGTGAGTAGCGATATCATAGCCCGGTTCCTTCTGATAACTACCATTGCTGCAACAGGATGTGTATACTAGTATCAGATTTTTGTTCGTAAACAGATTCCAACTTTTCCCATATATCCTTAGCCTATTTGATAATATGCAAAAATGGTTTTTCATCCATTGATGTGGCGATTATGCCTTGAGCTGTATTGTCGAGTTTTATTCAGGTATCACGTGCTCGATTTGCCGCATCATCGCCTGGTACACGAAGAACTGATCTCTAACTATTTTTCAGGACATGTACCGCAGGATTTCAAAGTAACACGCACTTGAAATTTCCATGAAGCTTAATTTTCCAATCCTTTCAGTTTATTAATATGAACAGTTTCATATTCCATCACGATTAGAATTATATTTCACGTTTACTCAAGGCTGGATAACTAACGTGCTTTTTCAATTTAATTGTAATTTTACCTAATTATTTATTATTTCTTTCGTAATCTGGGTCCATAACCTGTTTACTGAACAGTGAAAACAATAAATAAAAATGTACGGATTTAGCTGAATAAATATATTTAATGCATGATTACGCGTACCTGTTTACAAAACATTTGAAATATATGTGTATCGAAGAAAAACAAATAAATATCAATTATGAAATAGTAATACTGTTGGCAATATTCAATAATAAAACATATAAAATTTCAGTGAACTTTAAATTATATAACATTTTCGATTCTAATGATAAAAATATATGAAAACATTTTCGATTCTCATACATAAAAAAAAATTTAAAATTGGGATTTTTTATTATATTAAATGAACTAAAATAATATAGAATAATAAATAAAATAAAATAGATACATATATACATATATATATACATATATATATATATATATATATATATATATATA